TTTTATATTCTTCTTTTTTTCTTAATGAAAGTTGGCCTTTTCCAGAAAAAGAAGAGGAAAAAAAACCAATTTCATAACAAAAAGATCCCCAGTCACAACTTCCTTCAAATTATGTACCTGATAATATAGTTGTTAACTTATTATTAGCAAAAAAATAAAACTACAAACACATAAATTATGGTGAATTGCCAAAATCTTTCCTCACCATTTTCATAACCATTCATGCCTCTCATTTATTATAAGAAAGAGGGACATTTGATTGATCATGACTGACACGTGGCAACCAAGCCAAGCCAAGCCACCACACTTGGCCCATAGGTGATTATAGGTAGGCTTCATAGTAAAAGGATGGGAAAATTTCACTTTTTTAACCTTGGTGAGCCAAAATTAACCCTGATATTTTAATTTCATCAAACAAAATTATGAACTTAAATAAGTGGTGGAGTTAATACCCTTTATTTGTTGAATTTTTTCATATTTTAAAATATTTATGCTAGTTAAAGGCATTCTTATAATTCAACGAGACTATTTTTATGCATACTAATTTTTCTAGTACTGTTGGATGCCTTAATGTTAAGCTCAGGTACTTTCTTTTTCTTTGACTTGTTTGATTTTATAGCTAGATATGGATATTTTTGTGGATGTATTATATATGACTTGATTTTGGGTGTTCTATGGCTTTTTTTAGAATATAGCGATCTGTGCTGTTTTGTACGTTTATGTAGTTTACTAGTTGGTTCCTAGGTGACTTAATAATTTAATTTTGAAAAAGTATTAATTATACTACTTATTCAATTTTAGAGTTCAATTTAACAAAATAAAGTTCGGGGTAAAATTAACTTCACTGGTCTAAGTAACGGGAAAAAATGAATTTTTCTCTTCAAAGAAAGAAAAAGTTACCCAGGGACAAGCATCAATAAGGTGGTGAAAGTTACTCTGTCAATTCCTACATATATGTAAATGACAAGGTTACCTTACTTAAAAGATAGAGTGTCCAAGTCAGAACAGAACCGGTAGTTTCATGTCCAGCAACTAACATTGACAAGAGATCGTCTCGTAATTGTACACTTGAGACCTAAACAACACAAAAGGAGTATCAGTGACAGAACGTGACAGATCATCAAAGGATCAGTAATTTCTCAATGTCACGAGTAAGTCATATGAAGAATGTAGCAAATTTAGGGAGAATTAAGCATTCAGTTAAAATATGATAATAGACACAACGTGTCCCAATCCCAATGTTTTGGCCTCCGGTAGGAACCCAAAATTAAAATAAAAATTAATAGATAATAGCATTGATATAAGAAAATTACGAAATACCAAATAATTACGAAATCCCAAATACTTTGAGAGAGTCTCAGACTCTCCCAAAACTGCCCTCCAGATTCTGAACTCCTGAATCCCCAAATTCGCTCAATTTGTAGCCACTCAACTCTAACAAATTTCTCAAGTAACTTACAAATATATCACTGTTAATATTCCTAATATATCCCTACTAGCGTCAGCCTCCTTTTGTAATAACATTGGCTATTTCCTGTCTGATTTTTAGTAGAAAACAAACTTTATAGGAGGGAAAAAAGAAAGGCTTCTTTCCTCTTATTAGTATATTAAACTCACAACATGACCAAAAACTGTAATAATCTCAGCTCAGCTCACCACGTGATGGGACTTTTTCCATAATCATGAAATAATTTCCTTGATGAGTTACTTAGAATACCTAAGACTTAACTGTTCACAGAACAAGATTGTGAACAGTTGTTGTACTTGGCAATAATCTGAGAAATATCTAGTAAAATCTGTAGCAATCTGACCGCAGAGCACACAAGAGGCATTGTACTTCTGAACTAAAATAGCACAACAAATGCTTGAACAACATTGCAAAATGTCAGTGATGAATGGAAATTCAAAAGCTATCAAGAGCAGACCTCTTGCCTACTGGCCAGCAGAAAACGAAGGATGCTTGGATCAGTGTCATTCACATATTCCTCCTCATCAATACGCTCACCCTCAGTTTCCACAATTTCTTTACACTTGGCAATTAGTTCCTCAACGGTTCTCCTGATCACAGTAACTGCTTCTTCAGCTTTTATCTGTCTTGGGATTATCTTACACAGAGCTTTAATCTGCAACAACAAAAAGCAAAAGTGAAAAATGAGTTGGAAAAAATGGTGTTCATAAGCAGAACAATATAAGGAACCTGCCTTCCAATATGGTAAAATATCAGTAGAACGAGCCTCTGCCTCTTTCAAGGCAGTGTAAACTGCATCAATCACAGGGCTGTCAGCAGAGAGAGAATCAAAACTGTAGTTGAATACAGATAGACCAATAATATCAAGAGTTAGTTGAGAAAACTTTTCCTCCATGTTAACAGAATTATTATTTAATGCATCCTTTTGCAGCTTCTCCACCAATCTCATGGCACATTTACAGAATACTCGATCAACAATAACCGATAAGTACTTCTTGTGAAGGGATGGAACCACAGCCCTACGGCGAACCTAGTATAAAATACAACATCCGAGGTCCAGTGAGACTCATGGAGGAATTTGAATGATTGGATCACATTGAGCTAAACGTGCATATCCAATATGTTTAAAACTTTTTGCTTTCTCCCATAATTCAATGGCTTTAAACTCAGTTCCATATAAAGCGAATTTCAACTAATAATCAGAATTGTAAAAAGATTGAATCAGAGAGGAAGAAAAGGCACGTCTGAATGCATAAAAGTACACAATTTCCAACATCATCAAAGGATTTTCCCTTTTCTTTATTCATGCTCCAAAACTCACCCACCAAAACTCCATTTACAAGATTATTTTCCATATACTTCTTCCAACTGGAACCTACTAAAAACCTTTCACACCAAGCACTGACGGAAAAGAAGCAACTTTGTGATACAGGTAGTTAATCTTTTGCTCGTAATTTTATGCAATAACGTTTTGAGGCAGATAATAATTTAACGTTACAAACAGAAATCCTCAATTTTTTCGTTATAGTACCCATTAATCAATATGAAATATGAACATAACGCACCCCAGCGGGTAAATATAGTTGAAAAATAATATAATAAATAATTCAACTTAAATTATAATTATAGTCCCTAATATTTGTTGCTTTTAGCCGTACCTTCCTTTGTTCCATTTTAGAAGTTAGTGCGACACTTGAATATCTAGTGACTACGGCTTGCCAAAGTCAATTTTTCGTTACTATTTAAACTTCTTTTATGTATATGTCAAAGTAGAATTTTACAAGTGTTGACATCTAACAAATGAAATTTCGAAGAAGGAGACATTAAAAACTGACAATGTTCACATACTATAATCATAATTTAACCGTAAATTAATAGTTCCACTTTGCAATTTAAAATGCAACATATGATGAAGAATTATTAATTCATATTTGTTCATCCACAGTTAGCGAAAACATTACCGTCCAAAGCGGGCCTTCAGCAATCGCGAAACCAGACCCGAACAAGAACTCAGATACCTCAGAAACAAGCCCCTTGGCATAGGTTCCGTAATTCCTGAGAACATGCTTAGCAATGGCAGGGTCACTAACCACCACGAAATTTCTAGGGCCAGCCGCGAGCCTGTAAATCGGTCCATAATCATTCATCCACTTGAAGAGTGGGAGGAAAAGAGCACCGCCCAGAAGATCAGAAACGTCGTCGAGCTTGGCACTTGCTATTGGAATGCCGGAGTCATCGCCCTGCCCTAGGGTAATGTAGCGAGTCAGAGAGGTGAGCCAATCCGGGCTGACCCAGGAACCGGATTTGGCATTGTTGGTGGAGTTCTTAAGCTTCGTGGGTGTGGGGGGATTCCCTTCGTCAATGGAGGATTTGATGGAGAGAAATGGAGGTGGGATTCTTCGCCGGAGAGGGCCTCGCTTATGGAGGTGAGCAGATGAAAAGGAGAGTGACGGAAAACAGAGAGCGGAAGACATGGATGTTGGTTACGAAGGAAATTCAAGGACTGGACAGTGGAC